AGCTGGGAATGTATTTCGAAAACTTCAATAAATTTCTCTTCCTCTCTTAAAACAGGAAACAAAAATTTTGCATAATGGAGGCGATGAGGGTCGCGAATTTTTCTGGTCGACTTCCACTTCTGTGGGGTTCCCGTATTTTACTGGGACCGGGCGGGGTTCCCGTATTTTGCTGAGATTGAGGAGGTTCCTGTATTTTACTGGGACTGAGCGGGATTCTCGTATTTTACTGGGACTGAGCGGGATTCACAGGAATAATATAATTTTTCAGCCAACTTTGATAGTTTTTGCGTTCTTGATAAATTCCACGATTTTCAGATGATGAAATATGAGGATAAATTAATTTTGTAATTGGTGACAGTGACATTTTTTAGTGTCAATTATCATATCTTAACAATAATAGTTTATTAGTGAACTTAGATGAATTATCTAGAATTAATGAAATATGAGATTATTATTACAAATTTTCTTTTTTTTTTTCGATTACACTTTATTATCCCTTTGATTAATGTTCTGTTCTCTTTATGCTACCAAATTTTATCGTACCATTGTAGTAATTTTAATGAAATTAAGGATTAGTTTCATGTAAATTCACTACGCTTGAACATTTGCAGATCTGTTCGAGTGCTTTCATTTTTCGTTATGAATTTTTGAAAAATAAAGGAACGGATAAATAGTTAGGGAATTGAAGAACGACTAGAATTTGAAGAGCCATAAGGGCTTGAAAACGACTAGAACCTAAAACGATTGGGAATTAGAAAACGATTCGGATATGTCAATCTGTAATTGGAATGAAAACGGCGAAGAATTACGACTTATTGGTTCGGATGATATAAATGAGGTTGATAGAAATTAACTGTCGTTTACATATTTCTTCACTTTCTTATTATTCTTGCTGTTATTGATTTGCTTAAGATTGTCTGTTCTTCTCATATAATAAAATATGTGAATAGCATCGGATAAGGTCAGTTAGTTTTTCCAATAGTTTATGCTATTTTATTAGATCAAAGTATTTTGCAGAATGCTTTTCTATGTTTTGGTCATTGCGGTTACGATAGGGACGCTATATTAGTGATAAGTGAATAGATTAGATGATAAATAAGTTGGTGTAACAAACATTCAATGATATCTGCATATCCTATTTCATATTAAATAACTTATCGTAGAGAAAAAATTATTTTGGAAGTTCGAAGTAGTTTGAATTATGACAATTTGTTTGATAAGAATTGACTGCTTGTTTACTAATGTAATATTTTGTTAAAAACTTGTTTATAGAATTATTGCCATCGTCGTGCAGTGAGTAGTGGTGAACCATCGTTAGATGGATCTGTTGACGAAGAACGTGCTGCTTTGAGTGATTCTGATCTTGCTGGTGCTGCAAGAATACAGGTAGTTTTTCTGTTCAGTCAAGATGTTTTTGTTTGGAGAAAAAACATCATTGATTGATTTCAAAGTTTTGATTTTTGCTCTTCAGTTTTATTCTTACAGTCCTAATTCATTTTAACCATTAAGTTCCTCTATTCTAGACTTTGGCAACAAAAGCAAAAGGCCCATCCAGTGATGCTCTTGAAATAGAATGTCGCACAGAGCAGTTCCTCTCTGTTCCCAATAATGTTCCGTGCTCTACATCTGCAGAGGAGTGGAATGATATTTTGGGTAGTGGACAATTATTTTGTAAGGTGATAATTTTTATCATAAGTACTCAGTATAACCAATATAAATTTAACGATATGGTACAAATAATTAATCTTCCTAATGAGTTAAAGCTGTTATACTAACTTCATTTAAATAATTGACTTCATGTTACAATTTCTCTTCATTCGCTGAAAGTATTTCTTGGTAATGGTAGCGTAATTTTTTCGAATATAGCAAGCATCTATTGTTTAAGTTAGACTTATAGCTTCGTTTAATTTACTTGTTACTCTGTAGTCTATTCCGTTTGGATTATGTATAAGATTGTTGGAGACAAATCCTTGTTTTCCGACAATAATCATCCATAACCTTTATAAAGCTCTAGAACTACTCATAGAAAATTTTTTACAGAAATTTTTTTGAAAAGCTAAACGAAGGTTTAGAATAATTAAATATCATAGTTGATTCAAAAGAAAAGAGTAACTAAATTACAGTCAACTTTGGATCAATGCCATTAGTAAGATATTAGATGAGTTGCTCAATTAGATGAAATATATATTTCAGATATTGAAAGTTGGAAGAGGACCAAAAGCCCGAAATGGTCAAAAGGTGACAGTTAGAGTTGTAGATACGAAATTTGGAATAGACAACATCAGCGAGAAAACATTTATTCTCGGTTTCAGTATGGTTATCGATGGTTTGTTATGTTGCTTTTTTATATCATTCCTGTATCCTTCTTATACTAGTATATAATAGCAGCATTTTTTTTTATATCGATCGCTGGATTTATATATATATTAGTGATTCAGTGCTAAGGGAATATTATGAGTGAAAATGAAGCATTTATTACTTGATTATCAGAGAAATATCTTTCATTATGCATATAACATTTTTTCCTTTTTTTAATTGGCGAATTTTACTTATTCACTGAAAAAGTATGGTAACTTTAGTCATTCTGTAAAACAGAAAATATCGTTTGTTTCATGCGGTGGATTTTAGACACTTTTAACTATGGTATTGTTTGATTTACTGAAAATGGTCATTGTAGCTGAAGTTGAAATTGTATTATTTTTCTATGAAAACAGTTATCCTTACGTTTTCTCCGTGCTCATTCACCTTTTAGCATGGGAAATGGTATTGCAACTGATGCATGAAGGCGAAATTGACGCCATAAAAAGTGAGCATCGTTTTGCCTATGGTAGCGTAGGCGATCCAGAACGTAATATTCCACCGTACCAAACGATGGAATATGAAATTGAATTGATCTGCATTACCGATGGACCACTATATACAACGCTGCAGACGAATGAACTAGTGAAACATATCACGGAATTAAAGGAAAGGGGCAATTATTTCTATAATAGAAAGGAATTGGAAAAAGCAATATACATTTATAAGAGGTGAATACCTAGAATTTGAACAACTGAAACATAAAAATTGAAATTTGGAAAATTTGGATCTGCGAATATTTCTCCACTAATTCTTTCTCTTTTTGCTTGTTGGTACTTTGGAAGTGTTTCAATTTTGATTTCAGTTTGTATCGACTAAGAGGATTTTTTCTACCAAGGATGAGAGCACATTTCATATTATCATTGCTAAATTTTACTTAAATTATCTCCTCAACTTATCAGATTATAATCTGTTTAAGTAAAAATTTTGCTGTTCTTCAGGAGTACCGAATTGATTGATACTCCCGCAGAAGATGAAACATTGCGAAATTTGCTCTCTGTGATTTACTCCAATTTGTCTGTTTGCTATGCAAAGGTTGGAATTTTATCTAACTTATCCATTTTTAAATTATCCATTTTGAAAAATTTTTTGCGCTTCTAATTCTGCAAATCATAATGCGTAAAAACGATAAGTAGGTTTAATTTTCTAGAATGCGTTGATTCTCGTCCTCATCACGTGTCACTGCCTTACAGTACTGTATGTTGTTTTACGTCTGAACCATTAGTGTGTCTTGAATTGACAAAGTGCTGGCACTCGACTTTGCTCTAGATTATTTCACAAGCAAAATAATCTTATAAAACGTTTATGGAATATTGATTTTTTTTGGCTACATTTTCTAAAACCTTTCACTTCCTAATATATGTTTTCTAGCTCTGCGACTGGAAGTTAACTTTGGATGCTTCTAATAATGCTTTGAATTTGAATGCCAGCAATACGAAAGCATTATTCAGGCGAGCAAATGCCTATGCAAGTTTGAATTTCATCGAAGAAGCAATTGACACTTTGAATATCGCACATCAAATTGATCCCAACGACGAAGTTAATTTTAAATCTCTATAAAAGCCGATATTATATATATTGTCCCCAATTAAAGTTTTAAGATATTTGGTAAGGATAACATTAGAACCTGATGTCAGAGAAAAGGATCTCTGTCGAGAAATAAATAAAATAGTAAACTGGTTAACTAAAACATAGCGAGGACTCAAATGCACTTTTGCGTTCTTATTTAAGCTTAAATTTTTTATCACATATTGATCCTTATGCAAAATAGCTCACTTTATGCAACACTATTAGCTTCAGAACTAATCATTTTACTAACCATTTATTATCTCTTCAGCTTATTGTTAGAGAACTGCGCCGTCTAAAAGCGCGTCTGAAGTTATGCCGTGAACAAGAACGTTCGTTGTATAAACGAATGTTAGCTGGAACGCAGGGTGATAATGAACGGACGTATTCCATTCGTCGACTAAGGTGTTATTCATTGCTTGCATTCTTTATTGTTGTGTTTGCCTTATTCATTCATTTCCTTCGTATTGTTATGGGGGGATCGCTAATAACTTCCGAAACGAAATTAGAATAATCCATGTTTCGAGAACATTTTAATTTGTTTATAGCTTTTGGTTAAAGTAAATGGGTCTGAAAGGAAAATTTTCGAGAAGGAAAAATGATTACAAAAAAACCTAGGACAAGAATTTTTATCAATTGATTATTATCGCTCATATCATTCTCAGGGTTATCTTTTGGCTTTCTCATTCACCTCCTGTGTATTCGCATTAATGATAATAAAAATTTTTTTTTTAGCATTTTCGATCTATAATTTCCAAAAATATAATGAGAAAAGTAGTTGAAATTTCACAATCTAACACAATTTTATAAATTTAGAGAGAAACAAATCATTAAAGACTTTAACACAATTTAACGAAAATTCAGCTTCAAAAATGTAAATCTTTGAAGGACCCCTGAGCTGTTTATTATCCTGCTAAGGAACAATAATTGATCACCCCGGAAAACTATAGGATAGTTTCAGACAGGCATACCACAAATGAAATTATGAGCTGGTATAGCTAAAAAACCTGCACATACAATGCCAAATGAATCAGACATGGAAACGAAACCCAAACTGAATTCTCTTCCTTCTATTGGGATCTGAAACATGAATAAAAATTAATTCCAAAAAGAAAAAGACCATTTCTCTGTGAACAGCCAAACATCTTTCCACTGTACAGGGGTGGCGTGGTTGGGTAGTATCGAAAAACAACGGGTATATTGCAACTGAGAGAACATCACTGTTGAATTAAGCGATCTTTATGATTTCTACCTCAATTGTTATGTGAACTGCATGAATTTGTTTATTGGCAAGGGTCGTAAGCTCCTTTTTAGAAGATGATAGAAAGGATGTAAATGTTGTATTTGACGTAAATCTGCTCGATGGTCCTTTGGATCTCGTAAAATAAGTAAATATGTACTAAGCGAAACGTTTTTAAGCAATATTCGCGATGTGTCGTGCTGATGTTATAAATTCCCCAACTAAATTTTAGATTATTTCGCTTTTGAGCTGTATTAAATCAAATTGATCAATCTGTAAACATAAAATTAAGCGCCAAACGCAAATTGGCGCTTACTTATCAGATAAAAGTAGTGAGAAAACATCAGGGGCTTCGAAAATAATCTGCCAAGTTCTAGGAAGTATGCTATCAAGCGAAAGGGAAGTATGCTATCAAGTTCTGGGAAATATGCTATCAAGCTAATCGCAGTAATAAATTGAAACGGTAACGGACAGAACTATTAGATATTTCAATTTTTATTTAACTTCATAAACTAAATAGTTTGTCGCATATGAAAGCAGAACAACCTGTCAGCAAATTTGTCAACTCACCGACTTATGTAGCAGATGGAAAGTGTTAACATAAGCTGCTCCACCCAATAATCCTTCATAGAAAACAATAATAAACACAGCAATGACATGTGGTATGAATGATCTGAGAGCGTCCCAAAACAGGAAGATAGCATTTACTGCCTGAAAAACATAAGATGAAAAAGATCAACAAAAATGCATCGAAATGCAGGATTTATTAATGATAATGTTCTTTTACGACTTAAAAGATTGAATATATTAAATGACAGGGATATGTGTATGCTATATGAAAAACATTTCAAAATTTTAAAAGTATATCCTTTGGAGATGAATTAATTTACTTGCAGAATAGGAATCAATAGTATAGAAGATGGTCGAAGTTGGATGAACTCAATAGAAGAGCGCGAAGTAAATACTCCAAACTGATAAAGTACCTGTAGAAATCAAATATAAATGTACTTTATTAACTTCGCGAAATGTGAAGTACAATTTCGGTCTAAAAAAATTTTATAATATTTACTTGATACCAGCGATACTGCCCATTCTGACTAATGCCAAAACTATGTGCACAGTCGAATACAAGTAATTCCAGCTGCAAAATTCATATATTTTGCATACGAAAAATTTAACATCATCCAGTTGGTCTTCATGAACATGATAGCTTAATTCAGTTTTATCTTCAAAAATAGTAAAAAGTTGTAGGGTTACGAGGTAGGAAAACATGCTAACAGTCAAAATACTGCAAGTAGTAATATACTTTTTATTTACCAGACAATATGTGTGAAATATACATTATAACAGTATGGCCATAATCATATATACAAAAGCTCAATAGACTAGAAGGGAAATCTTTCAAAGAGCAACTTTATTTAATGATTCTGAAAATGAATAAGTCAAAATTTCCCGATAACTTACCAATCCTTGGTTAATAAAATACTCCACAAAATAAACCAAAGCGAGTGGAAACATATATTTCAAAATAAGGGGCTATAAAATGAAAAAAAGTACAGACAATTACTCGATCAGTTTATTTTGTGCTTATGACAAGAATGATTTATACTAATATGATGTAACGGCTTTTATTAATACAATATATGTAACTACTATTTCTCTTATCTCAAAATTCAACTCTCATATCATCACGAAGAAATGAAGAAATTGAAAATATGGCACTGGCGAAACATGATCATGGAATGCCTTTTAAAGATATTAAAAGATCATTTTGTTACTTTCACGCCATACAAAATCAGAATAAGAAATTATATTACCTTGGCTATTACCAGTTTATCTTTCAAACTTTGTTGCTGAACGGTGGTACTGACTTCACCATCAGAGTCATCATAACTATCTACAAAGAAAAAATACCAAATTATCGAAATATTTTGAAAAAATTTTCAGTTCTTTCGAATATGGATTGATATTACAACTAAATCTGAAATATTGATGAAATTTAAAAAATATCTTTTTTATTGAGGAAATACGCTGGCATAAAAATAGGCTTTTACCAAGTGGGTGGGAAAAACTAAACATTAAAATCTAGCATTATAAGCTTCTTTTCAGGGCTTAATGTCTGTGTACCAAGATGTAACAATAGAAACTTCATAGTTAATATCCAGAAAGTCTTCGTATAAGTTAACATATCGAAATATTAACTGATCAACTGTGCTACTTCATCGCCACTGCCTATATCGCTCCTTCTTCGTCTGCCTAATGCTGAAAATTTCTTACCATTTATTTGTCCAGTAAAAAAAAGAACTAAACTGCATAAACTGTCAGAGTAAAAAAAAATAGAAATAATCTATCAATCGACCGCACCAACACGAAAAAATCCCTTACCATATTGATTACAAGAAAAATCTGCATCAAAAGATCATAAATTTTTATAAAAAATCAACTACTTAGAATAATTAACTCATTTTTGATATGCTTTAAAATGTCAGCTATAAATTGCATATACGACTCAATATAGTGCAAAAATCAAGCACTTACTTGCACAGGTGACCAAATAAGTTGATGGTTTGCATAATGAAACTCTATATATGCTCCTAGGTAGCAGCAATAATTCCCAGTAACTAAAAATTTATGAAGCGCTAACAAAAATAACACAATAAATTAGAAAAACGCATATACTTATATTGATAAAGCTAAATTATACATACGTAATGGATGAATAAAAAATTTTAAAAAATCTAATATATATAGATAAAAGTTTACGTGAAAGCAAAAGTGAATGGAACAATCAGCATAAGCAATAGTGCATTCTGCGGTGTCAATCCTAACATATGCATATCAGTCAGCATCGCATACGCAAATGAACCAAAAATTCCAGCGCCACCCGTTCCAGACGACCATGCTCCCACCACATTACTGCATTTAATATTCATTCATTTCAGGACATTTTATATTTCGAATTTAAATTTACTGGAAACATATATTTTACCGGGAAAGATCGCTCGGACCCTTCGTCTTTAGGCAGTGTTTTGTCCTTTTTTACTATCCACAAAGTTTCTCAAATTTTAACGCTACTTCTAAAATACATTATGTTCTGAAAAGTTTTGATGCTGACTGATATAAGAAAGTATTTGCATTAATTGCAAATACTTTCTAGCATGCGTTGAATGTCAGAAAGTATCTGCAATTATGATTTACTAATTCTAAATTTATTAATCAAAAGCTATGTTTTCGATTTCTTTTACTCAAAGAACTAAACGCACTTCAAAATACTGGCTCCTTTTCTTTATCTCGTAAAATACTATTTATTAATGTCATAAATAAAAAAAGTTGGAAAATAATTCTTCTGTAAAAATTTGATATTGCGGTCAATTCACTTTGAAAATACCATGAAAGTACCAAAGTAAAGAACATACTAATCAAAACGGAATATTGCTTACTTAGGAAAATAAGTGGTCAAAGAAAGAAAAGTGACTTCTCCAATACCCGCTCCAATGCTTGCTAAAGCAACACCTGTAAATGCTTTACATATTAACATTTCCCATGCAAAAAGTGCAAAATAGAAACAACAAATATTGCAAAATAGTGATATTCAACTTTACACTGACTATGTTAATCTAGCTTAACTTAGCAAGATAGCTGCATTATGTTTCAAAATGTAATACACCTTTAATTTAACAGAATGACTGCATTCCTAATACTAATAACATTTTAAAACGTAGTGATATTTAACATATAAACAAAAGAAAATGTATGTCATTTTAAGAGAAACTGAGTTCACTGAAACAGAATTAAGCCATACAGCAGTTATTCAATTTTTTTTTACTGCTAAATCAAAAAAAAAACTAACCAGTCAAACTCATAAGAATATTTCGTGCAAAAGCAACCGCCAGGAAGCTGCTTATCTGAAGAAGAACAGTGAACAAATGTCGCGTACTGTAATTTAGAACAATCTGCTTAGACTGTGCAACAGCCGAAAGAGTAAAATAATTACTAACTTGCTGAACTTTGCAGTTAAAAAAGTTAGTTGACAGATCAAACAGTTAGTAAAAAAGTTAATTTGTATAAATTAAAATTTCCTAACTAGAATTTAAAAATATACGTTTACCCAAAAGGAATGCGATGCATGACAAACGGATAGAATATTTTTACAACCAAACTTGGTATGATATTTGCTAATAACACTGAACCAGTTGATAATGGCCGACATTGATGGCGAATAATTGAACTCTGCAATATTAACTTTATTCGATTATATTATAGGATCATACAATTAAAATTGTTATGCAGCTGAATTACTGAAAAATTAACAACAATAAATATATTAAATTAAAAGTTATCTAAGAAATGATAAACTACCTCAGACTAATTACAGCACTGAAAACAAATTTAAGCAAATATAAAATTTCAAATCTATTAATAATAACAAACTAAATAAAAAAGAATGGATGATGCATTAGGCAAGAGGTCAATATGGCTACTCTATTCTTTTAATATCTCTCTCTTTAATTCATGCAGTGATTGTAGAACAAATAAATTACAAAAGGTATAGTAATCTAATTTCTTCTATTAATTAGTATCAATATCAAGGAAAGAAGATGAGGAAAACAACCTGGCAAGGATTGTCAGTGCTTTTAGAGGATGTTTTGGGACCATCTTCCACTGATAGTATGTCTTCTGCTGCACTAAGCATAATCACATATGCAAAATTGTTGCATAAACCGAGCATCCTAATAATGACCAATGTGAAAAAATTAAAAGTAAAAGAGAAGGGATATACTTTATTCATGATCTTATGAGCTATGGCCAATAAAATACTTAATTCATATTTAAATGTTAAAAATTTTAAAAAAAAAGAAAATAAATGCCATGGATTAAGGAATATCATCGATATTACAACATTTTACGGTCAAATCCATCGTTCAGTATACTTACCAAAAAGCAAACTGATTTCTTGGGCCGATATGACCACTCGAGCTACCTTCAACCGTTAGCATTCTTTTATTAAATCAAAATTTGCAAGTTTGAGAAATGAATGTCATGCGGGTATCCTATTTTAGCTTCACAAAATAACTGAAAAGGCAGAAAAGAAGAATGAAAGAATGTTAATAAAAGCAAGAGATTTCAAACAATTTATTGCAGCTAACTCGATTAACTTCCATTTTGATGCTTCTATATAAAGAGGACGTTGAAATATAATAATTTATTCCATTTACAAAAGAAAGCTTTATTTATATTATAATAATTGATTCCATTTACAAAAATTGCAAATCATAACGAATAAAAAATAATTTATATCTAATTTATAATTATACAACACATACTTGCGCAATAAATTCATCATTTGTTATATGAATTTGTTAGGATTTCTTAAATAAATGGTACGACATAAAGTTATAAAAAATAAGTTCAATTTCCCAAGTTTTTCATCATCAACATTTCCTCTTATGTCGTTTTCCTACAATTCATCCATTTTATTTTGCAAAAATCTCTATCATTCCTTCAATTACAACATATTTCAACTCATTTGCTAACCAATCAGTAATCTGTTAAATATAAGCAATCCCGCCCTCCTCCCACCACAACACTTTATTCCCGCGATATTCTCTTCAATCTCTTTTCTCGACATATCACTTTTTTTTTCACAATGTCCCTTTTCATTCAAATGAATGAAACATTGTGAAAAATTAGGTCTCTCATTTGATTATCAAAAATTTAAATAATTGCTTAAAGCGTTAGCTAGCAAGAAATGGAATTTTTCGACTGAATTCATCTTCCATTTTCTATGCTAAGTAGTAGATTTTCTCTTTAATAATGCCAAATGCATACGAAAAATTAATGGTACAGGAAAGTTTTTAAAGAAAAATTCAAAAAAGAGATATTTATATTTCATTGTTTATGATTTTGCTGTAAAAAAGAATTACATACTTAATAATTGGATATTTAATTTTTTTCTCACAAATATAAACACTATGTATGCAAAATCAATATAAAAAAAAACATGTATGCAAAATCTCAATATAAAAAACACTATGTATGCAAAATTTAATAAGTTAATGTATGCAAAATTTAATAAAGTTCAATTTCGATACAATTACCACATAACAACCTATATTAATTGTCATCAACGAAGCTATTTGCGAATTGGAATAGTTAAGAATTTACAATTAACCGTTTCTTTTATCAAATATTCTTGAATACTTTGATTGACCGGTCAAATCATGCAATTTGATGCCTGAAGATATCAAAACATCAATGCCAAACAAAGTAATGATGATAGAATTATACTTCATTTACGTCAGTATCATTATCTCAAGCTTTAATTAATTTAGTCTTTCAGTTCAAATTTCAAAAAAAAAATTAAGCAGCAGTATTAGAACATAGAAGAAATCATTGAGAGCTTTTAGAGACATAATAATGAAAAATAAATAATATTTTGAATTGTCAAAGATGATTTTAAATTTCACATTAAAATTCCGTCGAATTTCCGTTTTGCTATTTTTAATGAGGTGAAAATTCAACGTAAAATTTAAAATTATATTTGACAGTTCAACTACACTGAAATTTTCGAAATATTTTAGCTGAAATAACAATATCAAATAAGATAATAATATTATTTTAACCATGCAATATAGATCTTGTTTAATTGTTGTAAATTTTGATCAAAAATTTTCTTTTTAAAATTATTTTTATTCATTTCAAATAAATTTATTTTGTCTTTTATAATTTGCTCACTTAATTATGCAGTTGATAGCATTAACTTTTTTTCCAACATTTTGTTTTTTTTTTTTTGCTGTTGCAAACGTATAAGGATTATTAATTAAATAATTAAATAAGGAGAAGATAATGAGGGTGATGGATGAGAGCATTATTTGCAAAGAGAAATGAATGGGATTAGGAAAGTAGTGAAAATGTAAAATGAATTTGTTGTTAAATTGTACATTGAGAGGCGTAAAAGAGAAGAGATATTAGAAAAGTGAGAAAAGGAAAAAACGAAAGTTAGTAAAAAATATGCGACAAAAATAATGAGAAAAGATTATACAGCTTAACAATATGATATTTTATGTTCTTTTGCATGATTGGTATTTTCCACTTTTCGACATTTTAATTAAAATTAAAATTTAAGTTAATATAATTTAGTTTAATTTTACTCGAATGGTTTATCGAATGTTATTCAATGTAATGCTTTCTTTAGTACTACAAATCCATTTGCCAATTCTCTCTTTCTCTTTCTTTCAAAAAAAAAAAAAACTTTTCACCTTATTTATCCATGCTAATTTAGATTTAGCTAATTTAATCTTATTTTATTTCAGTTAGTTCAGCTAATTTATTCAGTTAATTAGTTCGCTAGTTAACTTAAGTTAGTTAAGTTAGAATTATTTAATTTAATCTTGGTTTATTCAATTTAGTTAATTTATTAAATTATTATGAAACTTAATTTTATTTTAGTTCAACTCTTATTCTCTTCATTCCGGTACTTAATGTTTTATTTTTCAATCAAAAATTTGTTTTTCATGATTTCGTCAATCGTCAACTCTGCAATATTCAGGTCTTTCTTTCTCTTTCTTTCCATTCTTTCCCATCGATTGCAAAATAACTTTCATTTATTGTCAATACTGTGCCCTCTGAGCAATGACAGTTTAGATTACCGAATATATTTTAGTTATATAACTTTTTCTCACCAATTAAATTAAATGTATATTGTAATTTCTTTAATATTTACTTTCATCTGTTAAAAAAAATTGTTTTCATTACACGAAATTTAAATTAATCAAATATTTGTTTGTCATCAGTACTTTTATATGTCATCTTCTAATATCTTCTTTTGATAAGACTAAAACATACAGCAATTTAGTAAATGCACAAAAATTAACTAATCGATCAGAACAGTTAAACTGAAGAATTTTTGAGGAATTATTGTTTTATTAGATGAACAAAAAAATTTCATTGCTTACTATCATAGTTATTTCAGATTAATTTTGCTGTAATGAATATGAATTTGAAGACAAACCAGTCTTTTTTTTTTCTTTCTCTCATCAGCCAAACCAAATTTAATTTTTCATAATTTACATATTAATAAAAAAAAAGTATTATTTTTGTATGAATAGTAGCAAAAATAAACATGCATGGATGAACTTACCCTGTTTGACTCATCATCAAAACAAAACTGCTGTTTTTTTTTTTTTTGTGACAGCAATAAATGCAACCAACTTCTCTCATTTCATTTTTTCTTATCTTTTCATAAATAATCCTTTATCTATTTTTCTTCTGAACCTAATTAATTAAAATATAATTGCAACACATAATGCATACATTCTTATTATTATACAATTAAAGTTAATCATAATATATACATGCATTTTTCCTTAGTATTATACATATCCTATATTGCTACAGTGATACTTATACAACAGGCACATATATATATGGCCATTTGTACCATTATATAGTTGACAACATATTTACCATACAAATTTCTTATTGTTGCAGCTATTTCTTCTTGTTTTATTGATAGTTAATACAATAGACATGCATATGCAACAAATGCACTCATCTTTACAGTTATACAGTTGACAACATATTTACGATACAAATTTCTTATTGTTGCAGCTACTTCTTATTGTTTTATTGATAGTTAATACAATAGACATGCATATGCAACAAATGCACTCATCTTTACAGTTATACAGTTGACAACATATTTACGATACAAATTTCTTATTGTTGCAGCTACTCCTTATTGTATTATTGATAGTTAATACAATAGACATGCATATGCAACAAATGCACTCATCTTTACAGTTATACAGTTGACAACATATTTACGATACAAATTTCTTATTGTTGCAGCTACTTCTTATTGTTTTATTGATAGTTAATACAATAGGCACACAGATACAATTACATTTATGTATCTTTACAGTTATATAGTTGACAACATATTTACGACACAAATTTCTTGTTACACATATTCTTTACTGTTGTATTGATTAATTTTATAGTCATATAATAACTATCGTAATATAATGGCGACAATTACTTTTAATATTTATTACATAAAAAATATCAATGAATTGATCTTTTCTCGTTTTTTTTTTTTTGTTGACAAATAAAAAGATATCCGCCATTGCATAAGCTTTTGGCATTATTGTATTCAAATCACAACAGTCCAAAATTTCCTTTTTTTTTTATTCACCTTTTTTTAATACAACCATACGAAACAGGACAAATCTGTTGAATTCGTCTGAAAACATTTTTGAAAGGAACAAAAAAAAAAAAAAAAGAAAAAGAAAAGGAAAAAAAAAAACAGACCGCTCTATCAATGCGTAACAAAACCGATTTTGATGACATTTCATGCCATTTTAAATAATGAATAACCGTGAAATACATTTTTGTCGTTGTAGATTTTGTCAAAAAATGAATATGAAAATATATTTGTCAACAAAAGAGTTTTTGCGATTTTTTTTCCTCCTTGCTTCTCTTTAAAAAATTTTAATAATTTTAAAGCTTCTTTTTTTTTCTTTTCAAAATTACATTTATTTCCATTTCCAATTTTTTTTCGGTGGAAAAACAACAGTAACAAACAAATAAAAGCCACTTTTATTCCGGTTAAAAATGAGAAAAAATAAATTGTCCAATAGAACAAGCAGTACATTAAACATTAATCAATCCTTTTTTTTTTTTGGACCATAAACACACAGACACACATACAGGCACACACACACACACACACACACACACACACACACACACACACACACACACATTCAATTTTTTTTTATCTTTTAAAATAGTTAATATTCAATCTTACTTTCTAAGACATCCATCATCGAAAGCCTTTCTTTCGTTTTTTCTTTTTTCTAATTCATCAAGCGTCATGCTTTCAAAATCAAGAAAAAAAAAAGGAAATCTTTCAATTCCTGATGCATTTCTGATTAAATTCTCAATCTACCACCAACCCAATTCAATATCCACTTTTTGTCAAATAAGAAAATGA